GTGTGTGTGTGTGTGTGTGTGTGTGTGTGTGTGTGTGTGTGTGTGTGAGAGCAGCAAGATGATGGATGTGTGTGGGGAGGCTGAGAGCAGGTTAGCTGCTGAACTGATGCAGCATGAAGTCCAGATTGAGAGAGACATCCTGGATCCTCTCAACCAGCTGGCTGAGGTAAAAACACTGCAGCTCTCTTCATACTGTCGTGATCACTTATGACCTACATGCATGTATCTGTAATTCAGTTGTAAAGTTGCATTTAAAGACAAAGTACTCTTGACTGAAACACTCTGTACAGGATCTGTTAACATTGTGTGTTCTACTCATTCATTGTGCCAAATTCAACATGGCCTTTGGCATCTTTTTGTGTTATACTGCCGTTCTGCCCGATTCAGATTGACAAAATGTTCTCACGGGGAAGGTGTTGGCCTCAGTGTTGACTATGAAGTGTGTGTGTGCACTCATGCTGATTCTCACCGTTTCTCTCACAGATTGAGATTCCCAATATACTAAAACAGAGAAAACAACTCGCCAAGCTGGTTCTGGACTATGACTCGGCCAAGACGAGGTACTCTAGCTCATCATCTTTATTTAGCGCCACTATTTTCAAATGTTAACTTTTAATTTCAAATTGTAAAAAAAGGAATTGTTTAAATCAAAAATGCGTATGCTTACTATAGCCATGCCTAAGTGTCTAAATAATGTCTTGGCCTGCAGGTGGTACCAGGCAACAAAGTCCAACAACCAGGCTATGGCCGCTAAGGTCGATTCACTCAAAGACGAGATGGACGAGGCTCTCAACAAAGTAGAAATATGCAAGGTAGATCTTGCTTTAAATCTTTCTTGCAATGCTCAGTTTTCTGATTTCTTACTTAAAGTAGGATTTATGTTGTCACACAACAGCACAATGCTTTACCGACTGTGGTTTAGGTATGCTGTACTGTATATACAATATTTAATCTAATGGTTATACATTCCAGTCAGGGCCTCTTCATCAAGTTAGAATCATATTTTATGAACAGGCTGAACAAAGGAAGCCTTGTCACTGTAACAAACACGCTTTGCACATCATTAGGACCACGTAATTAAAGGTCATTGCTTTGTCATCTGGAGTTCATCTGCGTTTTAATGAAAAGCAGAAGGTTTAAATTTGCCATAATAATTGCCATGCATGGAAATATGTATATATATTTTTTTCATCCTACAGGACCAACTCTCTGCAGACTTGTACAGCTTTGCTTCCAAAGAGGGAGATTATGCACGCTATTATGTCTTGGTGGGTGCACTTCAGTTTGAATGACCTACAACTGAAATGGAAATGTGATGCAAATATGATCCCATCCACCATAACTGTATCACTTGGTTATGCAGTGTAAATGCTCTACCTTTTGGCTCTATGCCAAAGGTTTGTGTATATATGACCTGTGATTATGTTTGTGTATTTGTACCAGTTATTAGAGGCCCAGGCAGACTACCACAGGAAGTCGCTGGCAGCTCTGGAGGCAGCTATACCGACCATCCAATTACAGCAAGGTGAACGGCACGATTTAAAACATTCATTAAATATGCTAATAAAAAAACATAACCGTTGCACGCATTTGTCACTAAACCCCACTGTAGCTCTAGAGCTGGCAGCCATAGTTGTTGTTGTTGTTGTAGTGTACAACACACAAGCTGCTCTGAGAAATGTAGACTGGCTTGTTGGGTTGCACATGTTGACGGTGCAAATATAGTAAATCATAACCGAGCCAGCTCAACGGAAGCAAAGGCAATTCATTTTCCAGAAGAGAAAATGACCACAATGACATCTCATCGCATTAGTTTCTCTCTTAATTAAGTTGTGTTTCTATAGTGCGGTTACATGCACTTAAGCAACCAGGTTACATTTAGCTTCTTGCAGTTTGTTATTAAGAAATTATGTAATTGTTTTTGGGGATTTCCCTGGTTAGATTTCTCCTGGAGAAAATCGATTTCTTGGCTTTCTTTGTGCACGATAAAGACTTCAGACAGTGAAAGTATCACTGTGACACCAAGGCAGTTGGATGAAAGGAGAGATCATTACACCTCGCATTGTAACATATTCACCGTCAACTATAGACAAATTGTAGGAGAATAGCTGACCGACACGGAACAGAAATGCATTCGAGTGTAAAGACACTGACTTTTTCTCCTAGACTCCTGGATGGAGAAGCCGGCGTTCGGCACGGCTCTGGACGAGCACCTGAAGAGGAGTAACCGTGAGATCGCTCTGCCCATGGAGGCCTGCGTCATGATGCTGCTGGAGACCGGCATGAAGGAGGAGGTATGGATGCAGTGAGGGCAGAAGAGCAGGAGAAGCTAAAATAGAGTGAAGTAGAGCAAAGTTGAGGGTTAATTAACCAGAATTTGGACATCAATTTGCACAAATAAAACTTCCCCACTCCCCTCTGTGGGTCATAAGGACTACTCTACAAATGATGGCACGTACAGTCTGGAAACATCTGTGGCCAACTTGTGGTCAGTTAGTCTTGAAGTTGTGTGTGTGTGTGTGTGGGCGCATCTGTTATGTGTAAGAATGTTCACTATTGCTCTCTTAAATTGTAACCATATCACCAGACTCCCCAAGGAGGAGATTTTTATTAACGGAAACAAAACTCTTGCTGCACGTCTGTCTGCTACTCATCCTGAAAGAGCCACATCTCTACTTGCTTTACTTCTCCTTTCCTGATACCCAGACTTACTTCTTTAATTTTGAGACTGAAACCAGTCACCTGTACCTGAACAAAGAGCCCTAATCAGTCGTTTCCCCTGCAGGGTCTCTTCAGAATAGCTGCCGGAGCTTCAAAACTGAAGAAGCTAAAAGCAGCGCTGGACTGCTCCACCTCGCAGCTCGAGGAGTTCTACTCTGATCCCCACGCCGTTGCCGGTACAACCTCTTATAAAAAAAAAATAAAAAAAATCCACAAAAAGTGAGCCCATCTGGTCCAGATCATTTTCTCATAGCTTTTCTCCTCATACACAGGAGCCCTGAAGTCCTACCTCAGGGAACTTCCTGAGCCTCTAATGACTTTTGGCCTGTACGACGACTGGACACAGGCCTCCAAGTAAGAAGACACACGGATATGGCTCTTTTAATATCCTGTAAAACCAACTCCCTCTGTTTTAATAAGCATTAAACACACACCTGAAGCAGTGTGTGCTCACATGTCGCTTTAGATTAGAGACTTGTGTAACAAGTAAATATTTTGTGTGTGTGTGTGTGTGTGTGTGGTTTCAGTGTGTCTGACCCTGACAAGAGGCTTCAGGCCTTGTGGGTGACGTGTGACCGTTTGCCAAAAACCCACAAGGCAAACCTCAGGTAAGAGCATCTTCAGCTATATTGTATTGTATTTGCATGATGCAATAATACTCCATGTTCGTATACAGCAGAGGTGTACGCTTCGTTTCTAAAAGTAGTCTTCATCAACAGAACTGAATGTATCACGTTAACTTTGCTTCTGTTTTTCACTTTTATTCGTGATACTGCAGATTTTGAAAAGTAATTTGATGCCTTATTAGACATATCAACAAACACTCACTTCTGGTTAGAACAATGATCCCCAACCTGGCGTCCAAAGAAAAACCTAAAGGGTTGAAAATGTAAAAAATAGAAATGAAAATGTATTCTTGTCACACAAAATTATCTTTATTTTTTCTCTCTAATTTATGCTTTTTTTAAATGGTTAAATACTGGTCGGTTTTACCACTTCAGGCCTCTCTAGAGGTCAGACCCCAAATAAAACCCTAAGCTACTGCTAACGCGTTTTACAGGCTATTAGGCAACCAATACCAATAATAAGCCAGTAGTTCCCAGAGCAAAGTAAAAGTCTTGGTGTGAATACTAGTTGTGAGCTTCTCAACCAGTCATTTTTTCATATTAAAGCAATTTGAGTCTCTGTTTCAGGTATCTGGTGAAGTTTCTGGCTAAACTGGCTCAGGACAGTGAGGTTAATAAGATGACTGCCATCAACATCTCCATTGTCCTTGGGCCCAACCTGCTCTGGGCAAAGACTGAGGGGTAAGAACTGTGCACTGTTGCCTCATATCTATGTCCAAGTACAAAGTGAAGCTGAGGCTGATGAAGCTTCCTCCTGTCCCTGTCTGCTTGTGGCTGTGTTCAGGACGCTGGCAGAGATGGCAGCGGCGACATCTATCCACGTGGTCGCCATCATTGAGCCCATTATCCAGCATGCTGATTGGTTCTTCCCTGAAGGTAAAGCATCTCTATTGCTGTATTTGCACCAGTGCTTCTCTCTGTCTTACCTAAAAGTGTTTGCTTCCCGCTGTGTTCCCTCCAGAGGTGGACTTCAATGTGTCGGGCATGTTCGCCATGCCCACCCACCCAGCGACCCCGGACCTCGACCCCGCCCTGGATAGGAAACGCCCCGGCAGCCTGGTGGGGCAGGACGGGGACAGTCACACCCCCCGTAAAGACAGGTACCTGCCTCGCCCCCACCTCAGCCTCAGCCTGCCCCTGATCCTCCCGTCTCGTCCTAAGACACTGAGCAGGCAGGAGTCGCGGGGCCCGGTCGTGTCGGCACTCTATGTAGTGGCCGACGAGTCCATCACAGTCACAGAAACACCCACTGAAGATCTGCCCAGTCCAGACTTCAAAGCTGTGCCGCAGTCCAATGTAGCTCCCCTGAATCCAGTTACTGATAAGTAAAATAAGGGAATGATGCTTTGTGTGATTTTTGCACCACAGTTCTGTTATGTTTAGGTTATGGTGTGATTTCAGCATAAGATAATCAGCTATGTTTTACTCAAGATTGGTACTGAACATGAAAAAGCAGTTCTCTTTCAGACATTTTCAATTTTCAGCCTCATTGGGATACCATTTTGTTTAGAGCTATAATTCTGGTGTGTTGCTCTTGTGTACTCTTGTGTTATCTTCTTTGTTTCCTAATTAAAGCTTAGGTCACTCTCTAGGTTACTGGTTTTATGTTTTGTGTGGGCTTCCTCTGTTGCATTTTGTTTGTATGGTGTGGCTTCTGTCTCTGCAGAGATGTCGCAGTTAAAAGTTCTATTTAAAGAGTTCACTCTCATGTGGTTTTGTGTTCTTTTTCGGTTCTTGTATCTGAACTGGTTTCATTGAACTCAGGAAGTGGCGTCTCTTTCTGTCTCCTGCACAGTCTCTCTCTGTCTGTCTCTCTCTCGGTCTTTTGCTCTTTCGTTCTGTCTGATGGCGTGTGGTTTGCCTTCCTGAACTCTCTCCCCTCTCCCCCCTCCCTAGCACTGTTAACAAACAGCCGGAGCCCGCTCCACGTAGAGCCAGCACTGTTAATAGAAAGCAGCCACAGCTAACCTCACCCACCTTCCAACCCCCAATGCCCCTTCTGGAAGCCTGGGGTCCGGCCCAGCCTGAGCCCCAGCTTCTTTCCCCGGCTACAGAGGCTGAGCAGCCCGGCCTGAGTGGTGCTAGTACTGGTGGTGGTGTTGGTGGTGGTCTGGGTGGTGGGGTCCAGGTAGCGACAGCACAACCTCAGGTTGTAACCCAGCTCAGCGCAGAGGAGAACAGGTAAGGAGGAGCGAGCTGAGGTAGCAACAATACTCCACCGCCTGCTCGCAGCCAATCAGCCAAATCCGGAGCTCACCCGCCCTTTATTTTGTTTGTCATGTGTTTGATTGGTCTTTGAGTTTCAGTTCCCATGTCGAATGTCCTAAAATATAAAATCATAAGAATAACGATATCTGTTACATCATTTTAACAAATTTAGAATGTAATGCAGCAAAGACGTGATGCTTTGATTACAGGCAACTTTGATCATCCATCCTGCTTGTTGTGATAAATCTATTTTTAAAGATCTACTCTCTCTTCTTCTTGCCTGCATGTCTGATTGTTTGACTTCTTCCTGGCAATGTCTGATTTTGCATGCAACACATTACTGAACTTTTGAACAAACTGATTTTGTATCCTCCTCACTACGCTTGTCTGTTTTGCGAGTTACTTGTGTGAAAACCTTCATCTAATGTAATTAGCAGTTTGTTTTGTATGTTGCTCGCATGAGTTCTTGCAGCACTTCCTTGTTAAAGTACAGATGACATGTTGATGGATTAACATTTGGATTCATTGTATTCCCACAGCCCAGCCCGTGAACTCATGTCCACCCCCCCGCCCCAGAGGAATGGTTCAGTCCATCTTACAGTAGGAACCCCCCACTCTCAGGTCGGCTCCAGGGGGCCAAGTCCACACATGGTTCGCAGAGGTGGGATAATGTACTGATCATAATTCAGATTATGTAATACTATCAAGTCAATGTTGTTAATATCATGTTATAACTATGTTTTCTTCTGAAGGCACCAAGAAGCAGGCTCCAGCCCCGCCCAAACAGTTCAGCCCCTTTGCCTCTCAACCCAGTAACACCCAGACACCCGGCTCCCCTCATTACCCACCCATCACCCCCCGACGCCACCCCGGCAAAGACAGCCCAATCCATGCTCCGAGCCACCCGCCCCCGCATCCTCCTCAAGCCCACCAGGTCCAGGGGGAGTCGGAGCCCTCTCCACCCAGCACTCCCACTCCTCCGGACACTCCACCTCACGATGGGCCGCACTCCAACCCGCTGTCTTTCCACCACTCTGGATCTCTCCCTCGCCCCTCCAGGCCGGCCCCCAGGCCACGGCCCCGACCCAGCATGCCACCGCCCCCCCAACCTGCAGCCAATGACAACGGTGATGACATCTGCGGCTCCGCCTCCAAGGTCATAACAGGTAAACAACCTGTTCCCTGTGCCTCACAGATTTTTAGATGATATACTCCACTAAAAGTAGCAAAACCAAGATATAAAAGTACTCCATTACAGTCAAAATGACACTCAAGTGAAAGCACAGAAGTATTATATTCTTTTATAATTTAAGCACCATTTCAATGTTGTAGCTGGTTGAGTTGCTGCTAATTAACGAATGTATAATCTGTTGAGTTGTTTGTCATATTTTATAAACTTGTGTTTACAATGCAAATTCATAATTTGCAAGATAAGTATACTACAGTTGTAAAATAAATGTAGTAGAGAAAAAAGGTACATTTGCTTTACTCAAATGTTCAAATAAAAATCCTACATTTAAAGTTTTACTTAAGTAAAATTAGAAAAGTTTTTGTATCAAAAAGTACCAAAAGTAAAAGTTCTCTTTATGCAGAAAGGCTCATTTCATAATATACAGTATATTATAATTATCGATGCAATAATGTGTTCATCACTTTTAATGGTTCAGCTGATTAAATTGAGCAAATTGTATTACTTTATATACTGTTAGGAATGTTTAACCTACAATGATGCATCGTATTTTATTGGTTGGTCATATTATGTATTATCAATCTGGATCCGCAAAGTAGCTAGTCACATATAGTGGAATGAGAAGCATTTTGTGCCTGAATTGTAGTTGAGTAGAAGTATGAAGTAACATGAGACGTAAAGTACATTATACATAAGCTCAGTACTTGAGTTGGTTGCATTCCAACAAGGAGGTAAGCCAAAGAATAAATAAGTTTACTGTTTATGTAGCATTTTATATATATAATTCTCTATTCTCTATATATAATTTGAGATGTAATTACACCTCTTTAGTGATGTTTAACGTGATTTCTTTTTCTGTGTAGACGTTGCAATGATGGAAATCACTCGCTGATCTTCTGCTGATACTGTTTTCAGTATTGAGTGATTTCCGCTTCCTCTCAGGGCATTGCTGTATTTAGCTTTCTGGCTTTTGGTTTCACTGTCTCATAGTATGCTTCACATACTAAATGTAAATGTGGTGATCTGACGCATGACAGGAAATGTGTAAATATTACAGATGTCTGAGCTGCTGGTCTGCCTGTAAGATGAGCTTTGCAAGGCAGGTAATGGTATGGATCTAATTGGCTGATGTGTTGGCCTTGCTTCTGTGTCCACTGCATGTGTGTGTAGCTGTGCACATACTGTATACATACATATATGTATGTATATTAGTATTGTCCAGCATTTTAACCCTGCTGTCCAGTGAAACTAACATGCGTGTGATTCCCACACCATTTCCGATGCGGAGGCCTTTTGTCTGCTGACAGTTTTCTGTGATAACTGACACGCTCTTAAACACACTTTAAACTGACCGTGTGCTCTTGATCTGTATGTACATTTTCTTGAGCAGAGCTGTGTAGAAAATGTTGCATTTAACGATTAACAGACCAAGGATACTCTCCAATAACCACCTCTAAAAACGTCACTTAGCTGGTACTATAATTGCAATGTTGACTAAACTTAATAGAACGATCAATCTTTGGTGTCTTACAAAGGTGGTGTGTGTGCGCTCCTCTGTTTGAAACTGTGTTTGTGTGTGTTGCTATTATGTTTGTTTCATTGCTTGAACTCAAGTTCAAGAAACAGATTAAAACCGATTTTAGTTTGCTGATACGTTCTAACTGTCCTGCACAGATGGAGGCCTGTTCCTGAAGGGGATTGGACGAGCCCTCATCCCCGAGGTGATTGCGGACCAACAAGGGGAGAGCTCTGCTGGTCAAGAGCCCACCACCCCAGCCTTGCAATTAGACCCTCAAATCCAGGCAGAGTTCACCGCTCTGTGAAGAATAGAGGGATCGCTGTGCTCCAACTCCTCCTTCACTCAGTCGGTCCATGTAACAGATTTGAATGTTTTGAATCAAATATCAGACGGATAACTCAAACACATCGGTTCACCCCAGCTCCTCACGCTCCATGCACATGATGCCAGACTGCTTCCTGGGAGAAACGGCTGCCTTTTCTTCTGACTTGCTGAGACTTACCTCAGAAAAACCTCAATCTTTGTCCAGCTGTTGGACTTCATATCAAACTCCCTTTGTTCTATTTCGCAGGGTATTTTAAGATTGGACTGCAGAGCCTTGCTAGCCTCGAGGCTAACATATATGTATAACCTGAACACATAGCTGAACTCATAGGGTGCTAAGCTTTCAAAGTTTTCATTTGTCTCCTCTTTTTATTTTATTTAATTTTTTTTATCTAGCTATTGATAACAGGTTCAATGCTATGAATGTTTTTGAAGACAAATCTGTGAATGTTGCTTTAACACCGCGTACACAACTAGTATTTGGTATTCAGTAGAGATGTGTGGAGATATGAGTGTTAGCCAGCCACTGATCATCTATTTATCATTTTCCAATTTGTCAGTTTCAACTGGCTGAATGTGATGTTCAGCTTTAAGGGCTTTTCAATAATTGTCACACTTCACACTAAACGGACCAAAACATGGATATGGGCCAAAGGAAATTTATTGAAAATTGAGCTCAGCTCCTATTAGGGTTGTTCATGACCAAATATTTTGTGCAATATAAAAGTTGTCTTCCAGTGGTGTCCTCTCCACAGTACACATGCTGTACGTTTTGGTATTTCAGTTTTCCTTCTATTAATCCAGTGGGGTAGACTTATTTTATTTCATTTGAATTGTATTTGTTTTCAAAGGGCCTGATTTGACGAGCTCAAACTGGCTTTAGACCTCAGATTAGATTTCCTCATTAAAAGGGACAAATTGATTACAAGCTATGTATTAAAAATACAATTAACAATCGATCACGCACACTCGAGCTCAAAGCTATGAACAAATACAGCCAAATTATTCTTTGTGTATAGTACTCACCACGGCTGACAATCTTTTCCTTGTTGGGGTGTTTTTCAGCTCTTTGTTTTGTTTTTTAATTTCTTCTCAGCATTTTTATGTTGGCTTTTCTGCACATAATGCGTCATACAATGCATCATTACTCTTGATAATTAAAGGTTGTTCAACATTTTACGGTGTTGTCAGCTTCTTATCAGTTATTTGTCAAAATGTAATTGATCCTCAAACAAAGGTGGATGCAAAGCCTGAAAAAGACTTCACCTGCATCAGTCATCGTAGTCGGTTTAAGTATATTATTCAGCTGTAATTATTTTACAAAAAGATGAGATGAGCTTTTATCAAAATATGTGACATATAACCATTCTTTCAGGCATCAATGTTCTGAAATTGTACGAGAAATGAAACGGATTGTTAAACATGGCAAACAACCGTGTGTTTTGAAGGAAATAGCATCACTGTATGAAGATATATAAATTTATTGTCAGTTTAGGACCAAAACTGAAAGAATTTCTTCTCATATTCTGTTTTACCCACCCCGCATAACAAGTGTCCATTGAGAGTGTCATGATCTGCCTGTCAAGCCCAGTAGCCGATGATAAAGGCAGTTACAGAGAGGCAAATGATGAGGTTGATGTTAACAATGAGTCTTAGTCGTGGCTTTTCCTCCAGAGAACCGATAGCCGGTGCAGGACGCGTTGCAGTATTATCAACTCCCTCCTGCCGTCTCTCCATCCCACACATCCAGTAGATGGCAGAAATCAGCCTGGACTGGCTCTGGATGCTGGACACGGATGATGAGGAGTCTGGAGAGTTCAGGAGGGAGCAAGAAAACACTTGACTAGTGGAGAGGGTGTGTTCACCGGCAGGACTGACAAACGGAAAAGTGTAATGGCAACGCAGGACAGAGACCCACCTTTCCTTTGCTGACATGCTTTTCCGTTGCTGCTCTCCTGCTCTCTTCCTGTGACTTCCATGTCATGCATCTGACTAGGGATCACCTCTAAGCTCTCATTGCTCCGCTCCACTGAGAAGACCTGATCTTTGGGCTCCACTGGGTCAAACCTAGTAAACCAGGTGAGGCGGCTAATCTGTTCGAAGAAAAATATGCAAAAAAGTGAATTTACAAAGATCTAAGAATATCTGATTTATTCTCCTGCAGTCATTGGACAGGGTATCAGTGTATACCTATCTGGCACCTAAAGCTGTTTATATTATAAGTCAGGTGTGATTTACAGCAAAAATAGGCTGCAATGCTTATCTGAAAGACCCAAATGATGATCCAGGGTACAGTTTTTTTCAGTTTTCCTAAAAGGTATCCTGCAGCATTATTGACCCCTTGTGGTGCAGTAGAGCGAAGTTCAAATGAGCAGTTCCATGTGTTTTTTTGTATTTTGTGCAGCAGCATTAATGAAAGAAGACTTAAAATATGTTTAAAAAAATTATGCATTTTATGTTTTTAGTTACGCACAAAATGTTTTGGGAAAGAAGCGCCGAATCGAAACCCTTTGGTCTGCTTACAATGAAAACTCAAAGTTAATTTCTACATCTGAATCAGTGGGCCAAGAAGAGGTCGTTCTTTCCCCCCATCAATGTGGGTGGCATATATTTGAATGGAATAATAGAGAAAATGAAAGTGAATAAGGGACTTCACCTGCTCTGGTTTGGGCTCCTCTGTAGTTAGGCTGACGACAACCACCACAACCAGTGTGATGAAGGACAGCAAGATGGAGAAGTACAAGTAATGGACATATTTCAACACCCCGGGCCTGTCGTCGTCCTCATAGCAGAGGGGCGCAGGATAAATGAAGTCCAACAACATGCGGATGCAGCCCACCGACAGGCCGACAACCAGGCCCCAGAATGCACCCTAAAAAACAGAAAGGTCTGAAGACGCAAAAAATATTTCTCACATTTCACCTCATAAATATAAACGCATTATTTCTGATTATACATCTAATAAGTACGGTAACTTACATTGTGTAAAGCCTGTGATCTACAGTAAATGCGTTACATATACGTACAACCGTCTCAATGTAGAATATGACCCAACATTGTTACTTATTTATTCATTTAGACAGGGAAGAAAAATAGAGCATAATATTCTTAATGAAAAGTTATTTGGTCAATCTTCCCATTGAGACACAACTTTACCTTCTCATTAGCCCTCTTCCAGAAGCAGCCTGCGAGGAAGATGATGGAGACTGGGGGCTGCAGGTAAGTGCTGATGGACTGGATGTAGATGAAAAGCTGCCCACCCTGACTGGCCTGGACCACAGGAATCCACATCACAGACACCACCACAAGCACGAGCACAAACACCCTGCAACACACACATGAAACGCAAGATCTGTGATTTTAACACAAAATCATTCAGTTCAGTTCTGAAAGGACGAGGTATAGCGGAGATTAAATTACAGGACAGCTTGTAAGGAATAGAAAACTATGTATATTTCAACATCAGTGTTTGTTCGGTTATGAGGGTGTGTGTGTTTGTGTTTGTGTGTGTGTTGGCTAGAAAGGAAAATCTGGTGAAGTCATTACTTAAGAAAATGTGGAAAGAGGAGTTATGGTGTTATTGTTGCAGGCTGCGGTATACAGCATACATGCGGCAACCAGGTTCATATGTTGGGTTGCGGGATGATGCCTGCTTGTCCACAGGTGGTCACTTACCTGCCCACAATCATAAGTTCCCACTCAGATGCCCGGGATCGAAAGGTCTTCCATAGATCCATGGTGAAAATAGTGCTGGCGCTGTTGAAGATGGAGGTCAGAGAGGACATGAGGGCGGCAATCATTACCGCCATCATCAAACCTCGAAGCCCTGGGAAGGAAAACATGCAAAGATTGGCATAAAATATGTATATAGAAAGCAAAAGGCAGTATACTGGAGGTTTAACGAGGGAAAAGTATCTCACCTGCAGGCAGCAGCTCCATGACCAGTCTGGCGTAAGCTGTGTCTGTACAACCCACTGGGTTGCCACAAATCTGATCACACAGCTCAGGGTCTGCACACGCCACGTCATCTACACAATATCATGAAAACACACGACACTCAAACACTTTCAAACATTAAAACTCTCAACACATCAACATGACCTGAATGATTACTGAACCAGTCCCGATTAAGCCTTTAGTACATTTATAATGTTAAATAATATTTAACAGAAGTCATGTATAGTTTCGCATTTAGCGTGCATCAAGAACATTTTCCCGGTTGCGGTCTTGATTAATTAAAACATACATTTTATACTGTACCTGTGTAAAGTATCCTGCTGATCATGCCTGGCAACATGATGACAAAAAAAGGCAGGATCTTTAGATAAGCAGCCATGAGTGAGCCACCTTTTGCATGGGTCAGGGTCTTAGCAGCCAAGGAGCGCTGCACGATGACCTGCAGAAACCCACAGCTGACCCTCAGTTACACAGCAGTTTTTAAGTATATTTCAATAGAGGGCATTCTAATCAGAACGGATACGGAAATCACATAGCTTGCAAACCAGAGTGAAAAGCACTAAACTACACTTTCATCTTTTATAGATGAAAGACCTTGTGACATTTTAAAAGTAAAATAAATAACCCATTTTTTATATCCATGTTGGCAACTCTAGGCCTCTATATTCTCTAATCAGCACATGATCTATAGTTAAATAATGATTGCTGCAGTAGTAATTCTTTATTCTTTCATTTGCTCTTATTTGTTAGAAAAAGTGCTAAATTTGTATTTCCGTACCTGGTCAGAACACCAGTACCACATGGAGGGAATGGACATGCCTATGATGACCCCGGGCCAGGGCAGGTCAGAGTTCACCGGGTCTCTGAAGATGTGGAAGGAGTCATCTCGAGGGATTCCACAGGTTGAGTTTGGCACACGTATCGAAGGGATGGCGTTGGGGTATCCATCCATCAGAGCATCCCAGCCTCCGACCTCGGCAAAGCCTCAACAGAGGGACAAGCAGGGTCAGATAAACTGGAACATAAAAGTGCTGGTGATGGGACGGTGTCACGTGTAGACAGATCTGACTTACTGAAGGCCATGAGGGTGAGAGCTCCGGCCAGCATGATGAAAGTTTGAACAGCATCTGTGTAGATAACTGCAGCCAGACCGCCTAGGAAACAACATACAGTGACACACGGAACAAGCAGTAAACAGCATCATGTCTAATTCCTAAGTGAGAGGTTTTTTAAAATGGCGGGGGAAGGAGAAAGGTCACCTGCTACAGTGTAGAGAGCAGTGATTGACAGCAGCATCAACACAGCTAAGTAGATGTTCCATTGTAATGCGAGCTGAATGAACAATGCACCAGCATACATGTCCACCTGGCAAGAAACACACACAGAGGAACAAGTGGTGGTTACAAGATGATACCAACACAAAAGATTTTAACATACATGCACAAATACAAATATACCTATTTGTTACAGCGTAAAAACACTCGAGAATTATTGTGGATCATACCGATATCTTTGTAAAGATGTAAATAAATAAGGACAGGACAGCTATAAATAGCTGTGTTCTTCTACCACCAAAACGCCTCTGCAAATATTCTGGCATGGTCATCACCTGGCGATGAAAGAGTTCAAAGAGGATTATATATAAAGGAATAAATGAGCAAAATAATGCACAAGCATGTGTGATGTTTAGACGCCTCACCCCAGAGGCGATATAAATGGGCAGGAAGAGCCATCCCAGCAGCAGCACCATCAGTATACCCTGTCCAACACCAAATATGTACTTTACACACTTTAGAAACAGCTCAACATTTCATATTAAACTTGTTTTTGCATAAAAATGGTTTGAGAGCATATATAAAATCTCTTACATTCCACTCGTATGCAATAGCCCCAATTCCTGCAGCAGCTCCTGACCCTGCCAGGCCGATGAAATGACCACTGCCAATGTTACTGGCAAACAGCGAGGCACCCACCTAAATAAAGACAAGAGCCAAAATTAGAATCGCCTCAGAAGTTCACTTTGAACTACAGAACTTTTTGCCTCTAACTTTTTAAGTGTTAATATACTCTTGAGTTAGTGTGGCTTGTCTGGCAGTCTGTGAAAACAAACAAAAAACACAGATTTGTTTGACTCACTGGCCACCAGGTCATGTTCTTCCCAGCCAAGAAGTATCCATCCACCGTGCTGCGCTTCGTCCTCCACATGGACTGGTAGAAAATAAAGGAAAATATGTCTTGAAGATACAATTCCAAGAGAACTGCATCAATGGTTGTTCATGTTGACCATTCAAAACGTGTACGAATGCTTAGTAAAAGTATTAGACATGTTTATTTCTTGTACTTACCCAGAAGCCAACAGCCAGAACCAGCAGAAAGTAGACTACCAGCACAACTATATCTACAGTGCCCAGGGCATCTCTGCTGCTTGGAGAGGGTGATGGAGACGGTGATGGAGAGGGGGGCATGTTGATCTTTTGTCGGCCTTCTGTAATGTCAAAGGTCGTTTGTGGAATCAAAGAAATTAACAAATTCTGTCCCCAGCTGTGATAGTAAGTACAGTTATCAAAAGCAAAGACTAGTTAGTCTTGAATAGGTTCCAAAGTCATGAAAAAGTATCACTCGCGTGTCCTAACTAAAGTAAGTGCACTTGTGTGCAGCCCTTATGTACAATTTTGAGGTACGTTCTTTCTTTTATATGCTACTTTCTACCTCTCCCACACAATTATTCGACTGATAGCTACTTTGTATGTACAGACTTGACAAAACATACGAGTTTATTAAACATAATGCCTTGTTATTAATTGAAACAGGAAGATGATTCGTCTAACTCAGACTGCTCAAGTGTCAACATCAGATAAACACTTGAGTGACGACATTTTATCCCCCATCATATATAATTTTGAAGCGATTGCTTAATAGCGGGAAAGAACAGGAGGAACGTTTACACCAAGGAAAAACAGTTAAAATCTACATACAGTATGTCCACCCGACTAGTGTATGAGGATACTAGTCGTCTTGAAAAGTTGTGAACCAAAACTGACCAGTTGAGTTGCGACACGCTGCATCTTACTCTAAACTCAAAGCCACAATTTTATGAACATGTCTCCGTTACTGGAGACATGTTCATCAAACTGGCTGTACTGTTGTCAAAGGCAATACACGGTTGTTTTACACTTCACATATTGAGATTTTCCAGCAATTCAGATCAATAACAACTACAACTCAGTCTCTTACTATCTTCAGGCTGTGTATTGGAGAGTATTATCCGGTTAATAAACTCACCTTTTAGTCAGTTGTCACACAGTGTTTCCTTGAGCCGAGTTGAGACAAACTACATGAGGATGATCCCAGGAATCTTGTGTTTGTTTCAACAGTTTCCTTCACACACCAAAAGATCAAACTCCACGTTCACCTTGAAATGTAAATGATTTATTACTAAACAGAGCAATAAAAGGCTGCTGCTGCTGCTGCTAATGGAAGACTAAATTGTTTGCTGAATGAGTTTTATTTTGGTATTAGATGTGTGCAGTGATATCGGGATATGTATGCGTTTGTGTGTTTGTGTACAGGCTTATCTCACAATCTCTCAAATATGTAATTAACAAGTGTTAATCTGGGATTTTCCACAGCAGGACAGATAAACTGGTTGCAGCAATAGCAGGTGCGTCAGCAGCAGTAAAGACATGACGAGACGGTAGTAGGAAGTGTAACGAATTCCATTCTTAATGTTGTTTATTGTCCGGTCAATAATACACTTGTGCATACAGTATTATTTCTCTATACGATTTCCATAGTTTTTACATCAAAAATCTTAAAAACTAAGACATCCAGGCAAAAGTAGATTTTATTCCATTCGTTGTAGTTGTCAGCATCGTTAGGATACAATACAAAATACAGACAGAACACTTTTATAGGCCTTAAATGGACGGTAATGCTTTAGAGGTTTACATTCTGTAATTTAAGCAGAAAAAAAACAACTTGGACGATTAGAAAACAAAGCTTTTACTAGCTGCACACATTATTATCATAATAATTTGCCTTACCATTTTAAAATATCACTTGGAGACTAAATGTATGTTTCACGGAGCACTGGCACATCTCATAAGCTGTATTAATAACTGTATGTAAAATGCTGCATCGGCTACACTATACTTAATGACTTTATGGTTGTTCCATATGACACGATCAATAAAATAAATATTTGGGTAACACGTGACAGTAACAAAGTGCTTCATATATACTGTAGCATCTGCATCCGTTTCCTTTATATCCACTCTCATTCTGAACAATACAAACACAATATAGTTCTGTTAAAGTTTCATATAGTATAATAATATGTAGTATATTATCCAACACAGTTAAACATTCACATATTGCACACTGCCCGCTGTTAGGTCCACATAATCCCACCTCTACTACCTATACTTTGCAGGTTAAAGACTGCAGACCAGTTGAAGTTGACCCTTGGAGCAGTTAAAATGTATAAAAACAAGTGGTAGGGTCCACCTTCCCACTGATGTTGTCTCATATATATATATACATGTTAATAACACTAAGTTAGAATAAGAAAAGAAGAAATCATATGGAAATCCGGTAACAGTGAGGAATAGATACAAAGCAGTTAATGAAATCATCCGGACAAAAGAATTTACTTGAGAAAATACGCTAAACTTAGTCAGTAGAGAACTTATGTTACATTCAGTGTGCCGGGTGGCTTAAAAAAAATACAGAACACAAAAACAAACTGCTTTTGTGGTTTTCTTCGAAACCACCAAGAGAATGTGAATGTATTTTAATAAATATCTAGTTCAGGATAAAATGTATTTTTGTAAATCTATGTCTTAATGGTGGATATATAACAAAGATTTCACTGTAGAATTGTAATAGCACACACACACTCAGGCTTAGAGAAAGAAATATTTAACGACAGGATGTTACTGAGAAACTGTCTTTCAAATAGTAGAGATACGACGACGGCCTGACAAGGTTGTTTTCTATGTAGCAGTTTTAGTCATTAAAGTTTTAGAAGGATATACAGTATGTAACTATACCACTGGTATAAAGCTATTTTGGCCATCTTTGATGCAAAATACATTTATTCTTGCCTCATGTCAACTTTACCAAAAACACATGGATACATAAAATCTATTTTTGGCCCAAAATTGTGCATTAAGGAAGTGTGTATGTGCTTGTGCATGTAAAAACAGAATGTGTGAATGTGTCTGCGTCGTGTGTGTTTATGAACTATGTACTCATCTCCATATGCGTGCGTGTGTGCGTGTGTGTGTGTTACCAGGCCAGAGGGGAGGCCATTCGTGGACTTCTGGGGCTCTTCTGATTTTCTGCAGCTTGCTGATCACTGAGAGCTCTCTTTGGTAAAGAAACAACAGAGTTTGTAAGCTCACATACATTTTAAATAGCTTTTGTGGAATATGCTGTTATGTTGCGTGTGTCTTTAGTTATGGTTAATTTATATATATATTTATATCTATATCTATATATATATTTATATCTATATCTATATATCTATATCTATATATATCTATATCTATATATATATATATCTATATATCTTTTGGGTCTTTAAGATGTTGGTATTTTTCTATGAATAAATAAATCTGATCTTGAAAGTGATATTCATTGAGGCTGCATGGAAAACTATTTGTGTTTGTGTAAACCGGAGAGAACTGAATGTGAACTGCTCTGAACGTTGTGCTCATATTGAGCTGCTGAAATCCAACTTTTGTTTTTCGAATAACTTGTTTCAAATTTGTTTCTGAAAATTCTTTGTTCGGATCTGGCCTCCTGAGGGGCCTGTCAGGCTGCAGCACAGTGCTGAATACTCAGTGTCAACATAATGATCCTGCTACTGTATGAAGCTCATTATTAGCACCGCAGCCTGGCAGACTCTCTCTCTACATCTTTGATGAAATCCACGCTGTGCTCATTTCTAATCACATTGCATGGGCCTCTTTCTAAAAACAAAACATTGGCAGAGTAGAAAATCTTGGACGTAATGAGAGTAATTCATCTGCAAGAAGTTTCATGTTTTATTGTTTGGTGGAAGGCTGAGAAAGAACTACAGAGGGCAACATGCATATCGTTTTGACTGTAACACTAGAGGTGGGACAGCAGGAATTATTTTAATAAATTAATACCTGAATCTTTCTTTCTCACCTCAAATTTGTCCATGAACTCAGCAAAGATACCAAAGAAGGCCTCAGTGTTTGTGGCTTTGCTGTCTTCTCCAAAGTAAGAAGCGGTTTTGCTGAATTCCTCCATAGCTCTCTGTTGCAGGGACTCCAGAGACTGGATTGCTGGATGACTGTTTTCCAGAAAGTTCTACGTATACTGGAGTAAAGGGGCACAACTGTTTCATCATCTCCTCTACTATACCTATTTCATTCTTCATCAGTGCTCCAAATATCGTAAAGGATACACTCATGACGACAGCAAAGCGGTCCTCAGCAGTCGCAGGCATCTTCTGACAAGCTGAGCGAATGTCCTGGATGGTTGTATGAAGGTCATTCAGATCCGATGTGATAGTCCTCAGGTTTACTGGAGACAGGAAATAGGAGAATGTAATCAAAAAACACAACTATAACCAATATTGAGCAAGTGTTCAGTAAATTTAAAATGTTATCGCTGTGGTGCAAAAGAAAATGTATCTACCTTTGACTGCAAGGGGAACCATAGTCAAATTTTTGGAAAAATCTAACACATCGGGGAAGTGGTGACATAACGACTTGACCAGAATATGTAAAAACGTTGACTTCCCATCCACTGTTTTAGTTGTGCTCAACTGCAGAGGACACAATGAAGTCATCAACTGTATAAACATAATACGATGAGAGAAAAAACACAGACTTCTTTGAAAAACATTTGGTCACACGGTTTGAATATGCATTAGTATGATGTACCTCTGTAAGGAAGTTGATCTTAAAGCCTGTAGTTTTGTTGGTTTTCGGCTGGCTGTTATTCAAGTAGTTCCCCATCGCCAACACAAACTGATGAGAGACAGAATGTAGCGAGCAGAATTGTAACTCATGTCAAACAACTACTTCATATACAAATGTTTGTGACAGTTTCAATTGCAACATGTTTTTGATCTCTCATATGAACTCATGGATAATGCATTTTTCATATATTTTCTTGATGTCTTGCTTCACTTCAAAGTCAAAAATCCATAAAAATGGATTCAAGTTCAAGAAAAAAGAAAAGAAAATAAGTTTGTCAATGTACTTGACTGTTTATCTGATTAAAAACGTTTGTGCGGTGTGTCTATAAACAACATGTTCTTGTACTTAACAGCAGGCTACCTCTAGTATCTTAGCGAGCTTCTTGCTCGTCTTCAGCTCGATCGAAGCCTTATAGAGACAGTCGTACGCGCCCCTCAACTCCTCCGTCTTCTCCTGCAGACAGCACTTGAAGAGGAGGCACTGCAGGCGGGTCTTGTACTCTGGTACTGATAACAACTGATGGATAACACACAAAACAAGCAAAGAAGTGAGTGGTGATAAACGCAATAACGGCATATGGACAATGTAAGACACAGTAAAACCCACCCGTCCAAACCCTGCCAGGACTATACCTGCAACACAAACTGGTCTGGCTCACTGAGTTTGCTGGCGTCCTCTCTGTAACATTCATACTTTTTGACCTCTTCTGCATCAGGGGCATACAGCAGCAGCTGTTTGATGTGGGCCGGCTCCAGCCTATCAGTGACCATGTTCATCAGCACCTGGCACAGCTCACCGGGAGACAGCTTCAGGTGGGCTATCAAGATGGCTTAATGTTGAAAGGACAATAAACAGAAATTGTGAATTCCTAATTCTGAACCATATATGACAGCATTAATCTGGGTTCATGAATATTGGAAATATGTAATAATATACCATGTTATACTTACAGGCATTGTAGGCCTTCTTATGGGACAGGATTTCAATCACATCTTTCTTTCTGAACGTTTCTGTAAGCGATGGCTCTGGAACAGGCACTAAAAATGGGATCAGTGTTAGTAAAATGCCCCAGATGTTAGGAAGGCACAAACAGACAGTAGAGAGAGAAATGGGAATAAATATTTTGTGAACATCCTACATTTTTTTCAGCAGGTTTGGAGAAAATTACAAGGAGCACAAGTGCAGAATAACAAACTTGGATCCCACAATTACAGTCAAAAATGAGTAAAATGATAGGAAAAGTAATTTTAAAAAGAGCTGGGGATTCATGGGGTGTTGCCTTTTTTTTTAGATCAGTCAGACAGAATTCAGCGGTGAAATACCGTATATTTAATGACTAAATAATCACACCACAAGGAAGCAGAGATCCTAGAACTTGATAATGATGTGCTGCTAAGAAATAATGATGCATGTTGTCATTCTGATTAAAATACTGTATTTGTAGCACATGAGTGGGGCTTAATGATAATTCTGGAATGCTTTAATATAGTCTTATGATTTTCCACAGTGCCTCCATTTAAAGCACTGCAGATATGCATACAGCCACTTGTACTCACAGGAGCTCTTCTGTGTCCCAAAGTGCAGCTCCAGATCCAGATACTTCACCATGTCATGCAGTTTGTCATAGTCAGAATTTGCTCCTAACTACCAAAGACATGCAAAAATGGTGAATTACAATTTCATGACTGTTAGTTCATTTTTCATTTGGAATGAATGAGGCATCAGCTCCCCAAGTCCAAACCCCACAAAGCTCACCTGTCCCCAGATAGTCCCCTCTGAGTTTTCCACCTGCTCCCAGCGTAACCTCTTCACACTCATGTGGTTGGAGTCCATTCTGGAGAGCGAAGGCCTGGGCAACGGTGGAGGGGAGCAGGGCGGGGGCAACGGTGGAGGCGGAGGGGGCTCCAGGTGCTCTGAAGGGTCAGATAGCGAGTGCGGGAGGGACTGGGGCTGGTTTTGGCCATGGGATTGCTTATGGTGGGACTGGGATTGGGGCTGGTGTTGCTGCTGCAGCAGGTGATGTGAGGGCTGGGACTGCGAGCGGGTGGCTTGGGTGGAGGGCTGGACTTGGTGGTGTTGGGGCAGAGGCTGGAAAGAGGAGAGGGTGGGCTGGTGTGGCTGAAGCGGCTGAAAGGTGGAAAGAAGAGGCTGAGGCCTGTGGGGCTGCTGGGGAGGGTGGATTACATGAATCTGGTGTTGGTAGTCTTGCGGAGGTGGCTGTGGGGTCATATGGTGGATGTGGTGGATCTGAGGTGCGCTGGAGTGGTGATGGGTCTGCTGGATAGAGTGGGGTCTTTGGGGAGAGGGTTTGGTGGGCTGGGGGTGATGGGTTTGGTGGATCTGCTGTTCTTGGTGTCTCCCTTGCGGTGACACTTGGGTCTGATGATGACCTTTAAGGCTTTTCCGACTCTGATGGGAGTGGCTGTCCCGGTTTAGCTGAAAAGGGAGGGAGGCAGGCTCCTGCTGGGCTTCATGCAGAAGCTCTGTGGAGGAGTGGTGGGGCTTGGTTTGGTGCATCTGGTGGGCTTGATTGAGCAACTCTGTGGAGGAGTGGTGGGGCTTGGCTTGGTGCATCTGGTGGGCTTGATGGAGCAGCTCTGTGGAGGAGTGGTGGGCTTGGGGTTTGTGCATTTGATGGAGCAGCTCAGTGGATGAATGGTGTGGTTGTCCCTGATGCATCTGGTGCGCTTGATGGAGAACTTCGGACGAGGAGTGGTGGGGCTGCATTTGCTGCATCTGGTGACCTTGGTTCAGAACCTCTGTTGAGGAATGATGGGCCTTGGTTTTGTGCATTTGGTGGAGCATTTCCGATGACGAGAAGTGGGCATGGGCTTGTTGCATCTGCTGGAGCATCTCAGCAGATGAATTGTGGGCCTGGGATTGTTGCAACTGATGGAGCATCTCGGTAGAAGCGTGATGGGCTGGGGCTTGGTGCATCTGGTGAAGCATCTCCACAGAGGAATGGTGGGCCTGGGGTCTCCTGCCCTGATGACTTTGGTAGATGCCCTCAGCATATTGACCTTGTTGGCTTGGGTGGGCTGTTGGTTGGGGCGATGCCTGGTGTGGAGGTGGGGCTGAACGGGACTGACGTCGGTGGTGATGACTCTGGTGGGCCTGTTGCTGCTGTGCTTGATGCATCATATACAGCGGATGGTTAGCGTGCTGATGGGAGGAATCTGGAGAGGGGAGAGGGGGTAAGGACTGGTGGAGTTGTTGGGGAGGCAGCGGTGAGTGGGCTTTCTGCTGGGTTGGCTGGTTAGGCATCGAATGGTGACTCTGGTAAATCTGTTGCTCTTGAAATGCTTGTTGCTCCTCGTAGGCCTGACGCTCCTCATATGCTTTAAGCTCTTCATAAGCTTTTTGCTCCTGGTAAGCTTCGAGCTCCTCAAGTGCTTTTTGCTCCTTGTAGGCTTGACGCTGTTCGAACTCTTTTTGTTCTTGGTAAGCTTGGCGCTGTTCATATGCTTGTCTTCCTTGGTAGACTTGTTGCTCCTCGTACATTTGTTGCTCTTCAAAAGCTTTTTGCTCCTCATACGCCTTCTGCTCTTCGTAAGCCTGTCTCTCCTTGAACATTTTCTCCTGAAAGGCCTGTTGTTCCTGGTAAGCCTGCTGCTCTTGGAACAGTTGTTGTTGTTCTTCATAGGCTTTCTGCTCCTCATACGCCTGCCTCTCCTTATATGCTTGTTGTTGCTCCACATAGGCTTGTCTTTCCTGGTAGACTTGTTGCTCTTGGAAGGCTTTTAGCTCTTGTATGGTAGCATGGACCTGAAGGTCCTCTCTTGGGGGCAGCACTTTATGTAAGGAGTGCCGTTTAGGTAGTGGATTATTGCGGGGCGGAGGTGGGGGAGGGGGGCCAGATTTGCGGCGGATGGGCACATATGCTCTTGGGGAGTGTTCAGGGGTGTAGCTAAGCTGCTGCTGCTGCTGTTGCTGGTGCTGAGACTGAGTCTGTGCAGGTGTTGGAGGTGGAGGAGGCGGGTCATTGAACTGAACAGGCGGGGGTGGCGGAGGGGTCATCGGGGGTGGAGGGATGTGGTCGGAGGAGGAAGAGTAGGTTAGGGAGGAGGCATTCTCTTCTCCACTGCTGCTTTGAACATCACTCGGACTGCTGAGCTCTGGCGCCACAAATCCTCCATTTTCATCTTCGTCCACCGCCAACTCCTCTTCATTATTGTCGTCATCATCCTCATCTGGGAAGCCCATCTGCACAACATCCTGGCATTAACACCAATTACACTTCATTAGCCCTTCAAGGTCAAATTGGAACTTGTGAAATTCTTTTACACATAAATATGGTCATTTAAATAAACTGGGCAGGTTCTACAGGATCACCTGGCTATATTTATTTGCAAGAGCTGTACAAACATTGTTAGAACAGGAACATTTTTTGCCATACACTTATTGGGCAGACTTGACAGCTTTAACGGCTTCTGTCATCAACTCAGTTCACTCTTTAAAGGCTTCTCACATCAAAAGTAGTGATCAAGATGTCTTGGGGCAAATCATGTGTAAAAATAACTCATTTAGTTGGTGTGTGTTTGACCTGCCAAGGAATTTGTGACTTACAGCAGGTTTTAACGGTTGGGTGTGTTTTAAATTTTGAACGTGGCGCTGCTCTTTTGTTTGCATTTGGATAACAGAATGTGTATTTAATGATTCTTTGAGGTCAAAGTGATGGACCGTAAAACTTACCTGAAACAAACTATACAGGGAAAGAATGTTGCATGTGAGTCTACATTGCAATTTTATTTTTGCAAAAGATTATTCTCTAAACCTAGTTTTACTCTCAATCTTAAGTTTCACTTTGTCATATTTTACAGGAGAGTATGTTCTGTACCCGTTCTGTATGTGTATGTGTGTCAAGGGGTCTGTCCTATTTCACATTTGGACGCACAACCTACATACCGTGGGGAATCAGTTCACCATGCAGAATTAACCTGCTATCACCAAAAATGATGGGAACATTGGTATTTTCACAAGAACTGTACAGCTGATAGATGACCCTATAGGTGTTTTTCTTTCTACACCAAACAAAACGACCTATAAAATCATTTTCAACACACTGTTTGAGACTTGTCTACTGTTTGTTTCCTTTTGTAGAGTAGTAATTAAATAATTTGCAATGTGCAGCACAGATAAAAAGATTCAGATTGTTGAACTGATAACATCCGACTACATGCACACGATTACTAAAATAAACATCACTAGTCAAATGATCAGCTAATTCTTTATAAATGTCTCTTCATATCGAGGCTACAGACTTCATATTCATTCATAACTCTTAATTTACCTCCTCATAGTCGTTCTCCGGTGTCAGAAAGTCATCAATGATGGCCACCCTCTGTCCCAGCTGCTCGCTCAGTGCATCCAGAAAGCGATCTGTGTCTTCTGAGCGAGGTGGTTTAGAGAAGGTGTAACGCCGCTTGTTGCTGCGGACGCCGGGGGGAGTAGACAGGTAGTCAGGGGGCTCTGGGGATGATGGAGGGGGACTGTCCAGGCTGATGTAGGGGTTGGACTCCCCACTGGTCTGGCTTGTCAGCCCTGATGAATAGAACTGGGATTGGGGAGGGCTGGGGAGGGGCTCTGGCCAGCATGTAGGGGGTGGGGGGCCTTTTCGGCTACCTGAGATTAAGGACGAGACATTCAGTGTTATATAATGACGGCTAAATCTCTGTTAGGTGCAATGACTCTCTACTGTCTTTCAGATGTTTAAATAGAACAAATACATAAAGACTAAAAGTAAATAAATTCAGTAAAGTTTGGTTAAATTAGTAAACTGTTAAAAATTGTTGTTTTCCAACTAAATCTACAATAAACCACTAAAAATATCAACACACTTTCCCTTCTAGACAATCTGTAGAAGGTTTCCCAATCCCCCAGCCCCCCATTCGATTTTTAAAAAGCTCCAATAATGAACTAGATTTTACAAAGTAAATGTAACAAATTGTTATTTTGTCAAAAGTAAGAAGAGGCTTTCTCTCTACAATGGAAAATGTGAAAGGTTCTACACAAAAAGGTCAAACTTAAGACGTCTCTCAGAGGAGCTATACATTGCAGAAAACACTTTTTGGATTGAAAGGGGTCTTAAAATGTGTGTTTTCTAGTTCCACTTCCACCATCACCATATCCTCTTTACTGTATGCGGTTCAATGTTGTCAATATGGATTATATTAGACTCAACTTAAAAGTGCCTTCCTTCTACCTAACATGCCTGCAACCTAAGTAGATTGAATATGAGGGTATTCCTATCTCTCCCTCATATGTGAGCTCTACATCCATATCCCATGGTTAGACCAAATCAAGTCAAAGATGGCAACTTCTTAAAAAATAATGCTGTATCAAGGTGTGTGATGTCAGCTCTGACCTTTCCTACACAAGTCCTAATCTAACAAGCTCAATTTAAACTAATTGCAACACCCAGGCTGAGAAAATCTCCTCTATTCTGTGTATTTATGTACACAAAGTCACAAATATTCTTTCAATGCAAAATTTAAGGATATTCAGTTGAGTCAGAAATGGGTTGGCTACTTTTGGATTTAACATTTTGTTATTGTCCTTCTCTTCCATCAAAAACACAAACAGTACACACTTTCGCACACAATATATCCGCAAGGTATTCATTTTTTTTTACAGCGAGTTAAATATAATTCCAGCTGCTAAGAGTTTACTGTATACTTTAAGCTACCTGTGTTAGCATGTATTGTAGGGGAGGCTGTGCGCGAGGGAGGCTCCAGATCCAGCAAACTCTCGGGAGTGGGAGGAGGACGACTCTTCAGAGACTTGGACCTCTTGGATGAATACATGTTCTCCAGTTCAGCGTACACTGCTGACAGCTTGTATGGTGGAAATGTACAAAGAAACCAGAGTAAGAGTTGCCCTAATGATGAAGTGAATGGTGAATCCTACGTTGATATTTACTGTATGTTTTTTCCCATGAGGACTTTGGTACGTACATTGGTGAGGTTGTTGGGAGTCTCAGGAAGGGAAGTACCATCTCCTGACTGTCTCTCTCCTGGAGCCAACCTCATACCCGTCTCCAGCACTGTCTCTACACGGAGGCCTGAAGCAACCAGGTAACCGAGTTAGCTCTGGCTCATATACGGTGGCCAAGTTTGGCCAGGTGTTAGGAGGTAGCTGATTTGGGCTGACAGTTATCTCCGCCTATCTTTGGGCCACCAACCAAACTATAACTATTATTAAGTATATAAAATCTTAAAACCGTATGAACTAAACTAGTGTGAGCCACACTTGCCACGTAAAAGAAATTGGAAGCTGGAAACAAAAAGCTGTGTTTATGCTCTCAATGAGGATAATGTGAATGCTGAAAATAATAGCAATGGTGGTGATAAGAATCAAGGGTGTCATGGTGGCGCACACAATAATTCTGCATGGCGTTGCTGTTGCTATGGATTATAATGAAGATAATGAAGTTCTGTACCCATGCCCAAGTGTGTGCCAATGACCAGGTCATCAGAGCTACGTCCCCTCACACTGCTCCTGTACGTGGTCCCTGTCACCCTCATGGAGCTGCTACGTCGATGGGGCTCGGAGACAACCTCGGGCTCCGGAGGAGGGGGAGGAGGTGGTGGTGGTGGTGGAACTGGAACACACACACATATTGGCAATGCAGAGGAAGAGGCAAAGGTGTATGAAGGGCCCGAGCTGATTGCACTTAAAATATAACTCAAAACATGCGCACACACCTGGCGCTTTGTATCCAAGAAAGCGTGAGATCTTGCTCTGGCAGTGCTCCTGCTCCTCATACGTCAGCAGCTGGTAAACAAACTGCCAGATCACCTGTTTGGCTGGAGTATCCAGCACCGGGAACACATCCACGATCAGAGTGTCAACATTCCTGTTGCCATGGAAACACAGGCAAGGTGACAGAGATCGCCTGGCTTTCCAATCAGAGGTCAAAATTTGAGCTCGTGGAAATGGTCTCCCACGGGTGTGGCAAACTAGACACGAGATTAATTCTGTGTATTCCAATAGAAGCCCATTTTGTTTCCTGATTCCTGTGTTAAATTGTGACACTTAACCACCTTATTTTGATATATGTTTACCTCCAGAACGCATTTTTTTTACTGTAATTTACATGCCAATTATGGTTGAATATAAAAGCACATACCAGCACCAACACTACAACAATATAAACATATTCAGTTATAGCTCTCAATACTTTTTGTCCCCCTCCCCTTTTCCTTTTTTTGCACATCACTTCATGTCCATCTATCTCATCCCACTCCCCCTTCTCCTCCCCCTTAGCCTTTGCTCACCTGTGCTGGAAGAAGTTCTCCAGAGCCTTGCAGATGGTGTACCTTTCCTGGATGGTCAGCAGGTGTTCCAGCTGCTGTCCGAAGGTGCGGCCCTGAACCCGGATGCTGGGCGGAAGAATCTCTGCCACCCACTGCAGGGAGCTGAACACAGGGGAGCGGGCACGCTCTGTGGGAACGCCGCCCCCCGCCAGGTCCTGCTCTGCCAGGGTGAAAGTAGGCGGACCATCCTCCACTACCAGAGTGGGCATGGCACCACTGCCCTGGAGCATCGACACCACCTTCTCATGGGAGGACGTCCTACAGACAGACACATGGTAACGCATGGAAACACATGAACACACACACACTGCGACAAGCTTTTAACTGCATCTGCAAACTATGCTTTTAGAAAGAAGCTCAATCCCCCAATTTAAATTAGTTTGGCATTTATATTAAAAGCTTTTTGTATTCTGCAGATAACATGATATATCCTGTAATATAAAGAAAGTTTTATATTCTCAGGGGAGCTTCTTTATCATTGTTTGTCTTTTCACGAAACTGGTCTCCCAAATCTTTCCAAAATGAGATTTCCACTCAATTCAACAACTGCATGAGCTCTACAAACAACTAAATATCTCTAACAGGGGAAATATATCACCACATTTACCTGTGAATATAATCATTTTCTATTAAATTAGATTTAGAAACTGCACATTTCTATTGATACTTTTTTATTGAACTTGTGCACAAATTTGCAAAGAATTGATAAAATGAATGAGAGCTCAACCTCATGTCCAGTCCATTGAGAAACAGGATGCGGTCTCCTGGTTTAAGACCTGCCTTGTCTGCTGGGCTTCCTGCAGAACATAAAATAAGAAAGAGATGTCCGATTTGATCATTTCCTCATTACACGGACAGTACAGTGGAAGCTTTTGGAAGCTTTATGAAGAAAAAAAAAAACTGTTAAAAGGTACAAAGTTATTACAGCGTGATAACTAAAAGTACTCTCACACGACATCAGCTTGATAATTTACACATACACACGAATAATCATAATGAGTGAAATACACACACATTTTTTTTTACTTACCAGGGATGACAGAGTCAATCCACACTGGAGCATGGCCTCTTAGAGTGAAGCCAAAACTGGCGTTACCCTTACACACTCTCACTGTCCTAAAGAGAGAAATGTGAGCTTTGATTAATGACAGGACAGAGGAATAAACAGAGGCTGCATAAATTAAAAGAAAAGCAGGTTTTCACAAATATATATTTATATATATATATATACACACTAATATAAAATGATTAAAATACCAATAATAATTTTCCTACAGTTAAGTAATACATGGGCTACCATATAGAAACCCTGCTAGACTTAAGTAATATGACACAAAGGACACAAACTGTGCTTAAATAAGGGTGGTAGAATCCATGTATCACTATAGCTCATTGCACACAGTGCAGGGGCTGTAATCAGTTAAAAAAGTTATCTGCAATGAGACAAATGATGCAGTCTAATCTGGAGTCCAACTGCAGATTTCCATATTCAGTAGACTGCTTTAAATTCCCATGCTGCATGAAAAACCAAACTTAAATATGGACAGTATATCCCAGGGGAAATGTATAACATCCTCATAAATCAACCATAGAAGAGATAAGGGGCATTTTATTCTTACCGTTTCAAGAGATAGTGAAAAGATGTTTGTACTTATGTTGTTTACCATCATTTAATCCTGATGTGATCAGGATTTTGTTATCAGAGAACAAACTGTCATCAATTCATAAAGACACGACAAGAAACAATGTCACAGCAGATGAAGCGAGCAAGAGGAGAGGCATGACTGTCTAAATAGGTTTATGTTCCCATTGGCATTAATCTCTAAAAGGGTCTGTTTTTCACTTAACTCCTACTCATCTTAATTCACATAAATTCCATGCTACACAGGAAGACCTGTCACAGCAGTTCTCATGTAGAATGGTTATAAATTATCGTAAGAAAAGAGGAGATGCTATTTTAGGACAACGGGTTTTCTTTGAAAGCTAAAATGACATGGCACTGTGTAGCTGGTGTGAAAATGGGATGACGATGATGATGATGATGATGATGATGATGATGATGATGATGGGACTCCTGCTGATAAAAGGTCAAAACACGCAGGAACTAAAAAAAGACAGGATGAGCCAAGAAAATACTGTTGAACAAAAAATCTGCAATATGACACTTAATACAGACCTGCAGTTGGTGGTGGTGCCACTGGAGTGACCAGCTATGAGTGAGGTGGTCTTGCGCATGCCGCGGGCGGGGGGGACCACACCTTCCTCTGCGTGGGTGCGTGGCACTGAACTGGCGCGGGTGGACACCAAAAGGCGTTCGGAGTGATCCTCACTCCGACTGCGGCGAAGGTGGTTGCGGCTAGGGTCACTGAAGCTCCGCCCTTTGATCCGGCTCATCAGGCTCTGGGACACCACCTCATCAAAACGCTCCCGGTGCTTCTTGGGAATGAAGATCCTGGCGAACATTGTGGGATCAGACACAAACTCAGAAATAGGCTTTACTGAAAATCTTGACATCCAACAAAATCATATCAGAGAAGCATTCAGCCAAAAACCCCACAAAATCTAAAGTTATTCATCCTGATCTCTCAAAGCATCCATCGTCCAATGTATCCAAGAAAAAAACAGAGGGATTCTTGTTCCGACTACATATTGTTCCAGCTGCAGGATCCACTTAATTGGTTCAAAAATAGTTCAGTGCATATCCTCTCATGGGAGGGCCGAGGTAGGTAGAAGGGATTGGTCCAACATTAGTTTTTGTGTGTTTTAGTGGGTGTATGCATGTGTGTGAGAGAATGAAAGAGATAAAAGATGAGCTTCGTCTGTGTGGTCCTGTCACAGCAGCAGCTGCAGGTAAGAGTGTTCAGTATCAGTGACAGTTCTCTGCTAATACGCAGGAAAAAAAGGAAACTCAAAGCCAGAGCCACCTCTGTGAGAAAGTGCTCCTCTCCCCCTATCAGTGTTACTTTCCCCTCCCATAATCGACTCCTTATGCTGTTATCCTCTTAAGGAAAAACCCACCCTCAGATACTCTGAGATATCCGTTTGTGAGATTTAGGGTGTTCCAGGGCTGGGTTTGTAAGCGTAGTGCACCCACTTTCCTGCAGTCTGTTTTGAGTGCCGCATTAGAAAAGAAAGTATCCAGTCAATAAAAAGAAGATTGTAGTGTTGGCATCAAACTTGTCAAATAGGGCTTGTATTTAAGCTGCCTGAGACTTGGTCTAAAAATGGTATCGCTGCCTCTTCTGTGACAGAACATCAGCAAAACAATTTTATGACACTTACCACTGATGTTTTGTTCAGCTTTAAATGTCTACTCCTATTAAACCCCTTGTTTATATTAGGCCAATTATCTGCAAGAACAACACAGATACATAACAACAAATATGACCCAGATATGGAAGAATCATTGCCAATAACTGTTGTGAAATATGTTTCAGGCTACGATTTTCCTACAAATATAGGGCACCTTTTTTTCTTTCTCTTTAATCTGATGGCTCTGCATACACATACACGATCAAACTGCCGTCTCACACCCATGTACACACACCTCATTTGTCCATTTTCTATTATGCATACCCCCCCCCAATCCCGCCTATAAAATGATGCTGCCTCCATCCTCAACACAAGCCTCTCTCTATCTCTCTCACTTCGTCATAAATCTCCAGGGTACTTCCACTGTGCTCAGGAAAAACGAGTGCTTTGGTTTTTCAGAGTGCACCAGTTCCAACGTGCATGCAGACACACAGCACAACTCTTCGCTCCAACGCTACTTTTGAGAATAAGGCTCAGTGGTACAGTTTGGTTTTCAAAGCTGTCACAGTCCTTTTGCAGGTACATTTGGGAAACATTGTCAAGAGGCAAGGATTAGATGATTTGATAGTTTTATAAAAACATACAGAAAGTACTGTGTCTGAATTAAGAGTATTGCATAAGCTGAGCTGCTTCTTTTCAATATCTTACAATCCAAAGCTGAGGGAAGCCAACAAATATTTCCCCTCTGGAGAGTTTGTACCTAAACAACAATCGAATTCACTAAAGTTCACAGCCTTTTGCAAGACTGCTCACACACGTCAAAAAGCACGCCTGTAATTACAGCTATCAAAAAAACCTGGGGCCATATCCAAATTACATCAGTGTGCAAGTCTAACAAAACACTAACTTTGCAACTTTCATAAACCAGGTCATAAACTCTAAAGCTGAAAATCCAACAGCCCATGCTCGTTGCACATAAAGATAATGAATTGAATCAGCTACATTTCATCATATAAAGAGTAAATCACAAGGCAGACTTTCTGCTTCGCAATCAATGCGTCAGTCTTGTGTCCAATTGACACACTTTCACCTTATTTATGGCTGTATTTTGCAAGTGACATTGTCCCAAACAGCTTTAAGTGAACAGCACTTCAGCAACAGTACAGTTGGTACCATCCACAACTTCTCTTGGTCTGATACCTTGTGGAGCCATGCACACACATGCAGTCACAAAATGGGAATCCAGAGTTAACTGCTGATCACTGAGTTTGAGTTTGTGTGTGCCATCTGATAAGCACACACGGTTTATTGTGAGTTAACCAATCTGTGGAAACACTGCTTGTGTCATAAGCAAGCTATATAAAAACAGCAACAACGGCGGCAGGCTATATCACAGAAAAAAAGTAAAATAATGCAATCAATTATGCTTTAAAAATGTTTTGAAGCTGTTTTTAAGCTTATCTTCAATAAGCACAATCAGTAGAAGCAGATGCTTCTGATGCCAGTATGTCGTCTTAACTCAACACTTACTTGCAATATCTCAACACAGAAAGAACAGACCTAAAAGATCTGTGCATCCTTGTGTTTCTTGATCTCACCACCACAATCAAAACTGTCAATCACACCATTTTATGACTGGAAAAGTGACTTTGACTCCTTGGCAGTATGTTACATTGTATTAACAACTATCTATATGTGTCAAAAAAAAAAGTTAATCCATTATATGTTGTTCCACAGGGATCAATCGTGGGTCACCTTTTGTTTTACCTCTATCTACAACTTTAACCCATCACACAGGCTGCATTATAACCACAATGATGATGATATACAATCATATCTCTTATGGATGATCTTGGTCCTATCAGTACACTCAAGAGTATTGTGGATGTGGTGCCAGGGTGAAAAACTAAACATGAAGGCTCATCTTGAAAGGATAATCACTTCCATTGATACAATTTCATCTGATCACTATGAAACCATTCATATAAATAAAAGCCAAGGGAAGTGGTGTATATGGGTGACAGTGATAAAGTGCTGCGTGTGTTTTTGCAGCAAAGTGTCAAAACTTCCCCAGGGGGCTGAAATGTGCTCATCTGTGTCTCCAGGCTATAGCAAGGGCCAGTTTTGTGTAACAAGTGTAGAACTACAACAACTCGAGTTAGAGACATAACACACCAACATAAATTGGTACAATCAGTAAAATAAAAAGGCGGAGTGGGTGACGAAGAAAGAAGTTGGTTAAAAAAAGTTGAAAGTCATGAGTCGATATGAAGAATGGAAGAAAAAAAATTGCAGGTCACCAGGAGTAAAATATGACAAAGTTGGAAACAAGGAAAGAGAGAAAGTGGAGAACTAGAGCTCTTTCTAGGCCAGGGTCATGCTACTATTGGGAATGAAGCAGGCAAGTATGTGCTTACAGGCGATGTAGGCCACAGAACTTTCCCAAACTACACTCATACGTCACAGTTGCTCAGACAAACGGCGGACAGGGAAAACTAAACTGAATGGGGCCATTTATTATGTATTTATGACAGTCACAAGGCCTGGCTCTATTGATTTCACCACCTCTTCGACATGCTAAGATTTCAGCCAAAGAATATTTCATTTGTCAAATCGGCCAAAATAAGTGAACAGAAACTTTACATCAGGGGTGTCAAACTCATTTTCACTCTGGGCCACATCAGCATCATGGTTTCCCTCAAAGGGCCGGTTGTAACTGTAAGACTGCATAACTGTAACTACTCCTGACATATTGTTAAATAACTGTCTCTGCTTTTGATTATTGTTTATTCAAGTGTAAAAATATTGTACATGCAGTTATATAAATGTAAAAATATATTTAGGCACATTTCTGTTATTATAACATAAATCATTTTAATTTAGGGTTAAGAAACCCACATTACTCTATCAAAGATCAAACTTTTAAAGAAAATAAAGACAAATATCAAACATAAGTTATTACATTAACTTTGTTCAAAGCTATTTTTGTCACCTCTCTGCATCACTAATGTCCCTCCCTGTCGTCGTCCCGTGCATGACAGCTACATCCAAGAGCTCCTCACTGAGAGTCAGGTCTTATAAACATGGATAGATGCTCTGTGTCCGTGTTGTCTGTGCTTTCATCAACAGCTAATGAAGAAGACGAGTACCTGCTCGTCTCTTAGCTAGCTGTGTTGTTAGATTGCTGCTAGTTCCTGAACTCGGTCTGCGATGGTGTTTCTTCACAAACTGACATTTGTAAAAGTCTGTATCTGGTCGGAGCACACCTGCTCACAGACCTTTAGCATGCACTGGGCTGTAGCTTGTGTAAATATATTCTGCTGTGATTGCAGTCTGCCTTTTAATTCTTGGACAATTTGATGTTTTTCTTGGAGGCTAAATTTAGCTCCGTGTTTGGTGTCAAAATGCCGACGTGAATTGTATCCTTCATCACCGACACGCATCATAACACTGAAGACAGACCTGTTTTTCTCCTTGAAGCACAGACATGTATTCGCTTTCCCATTTTAAATTACATCTTCTTCCCTCTGCATCAATTGTTCTCTTCGTGGACATTTTGGGATTATTTGTCGATCTTTTTCAACTCAATCACTTGTTGGAGAACCTCTTTACGGGCTGTTGCCTCTCCTGTCCACCTGTTGTGATAGTTTTAATGTCTGTACACAGACAACATGCTATCTCATAATTTCAACTTTCTATCTCATAATTTCGACCATGGGGATATTTTTATTTTCAAGTCCAATTTAAATTTTTTTTTTCCAAAATTAAAAAAAAAAAAAAAAAAATTACTTTTTTTGCTGGAGGATTCACGGGCCACATAAAATGACGTGGCGGGCCGGATTCGGCCCGCGGGCCTTGAGTTTGACACGTGTGCTTTACAGCTTTTCTCTGTTGAAGTTGGATGTAGGTCTTGGGATGCCCTGAATTATAAGGAGGGCGAGATGAGTTTATAATTAGGCCTGAAGGAGGACACAGTACACAGAGGGATGAATGACAATTGCAATCAGCTGGAAAACCGATTGCCAGAACCATTATTATCAGACCCACTTCTGATCAGCTAATTTCACAGCTGAGCCAGTCATCAATTTGCAAACACAAAACGTAGATGTAGACACAGAATTTAATTAAAAAGCCACAGACGGGCAAATCAAGAAAAACAGTATTTGTCAAACTCTTGTGTTTTGCAAGAATCTTGCAGTTTTCTCATGATATTTCACAGTTTCACATGCCAACGAAAAAGTGTAAAATAATCACCAATACAAACTTCAGAACAAACACACAGAAAATATTTGCAAAACAATACTTCAGCAACTTCAGATACAAGTCAGCACAAACAACAGAAAGCACAGTGAGCGCTGCTGAGATCAAAAGAAAAGTGCCATACCGAAAGTGTCTGGAAAGGCTTCTATCCCTTCCCATGGCTCTTCGGGGCTTTGAGGAAGCGCCTGTGCTCAGTTAAGCAATGCAAATGCTTCTCATCTATCTCAGTGAGTCCCCATCTAGTCTGAACGAACAAACTCTCCCGGACAAAGGGGAAAGAAGAGAAAGATGATAAAAGGAAGGTGTCCTGGATCTCAAAAGCGTTTGCTGCAGGCTCGAAAAGCAGCCAGAGGAAGAAAGAGACAGAACGAGAACGAGGGAGTGAGCAAACTGTGAGAGTGGATGTGGCTCACATCCCTCCACACCTCCAAAACATCCTCAGGTAGCATCATCAGCTGTTTGGGGCTGCACTCTTTCTTTGTGCCCATCTTTTGTCCCCTTTTTCCTCCAAAGAAGCCAGGGTCAAGTCAGGTCACCGCAGGGAAGTCTGCTCGGTCACAGTTAAAAGGATAATCCTCGTCACTGAGTCGTCCTTCATTTGGCAGTAAGAGGTAGTGAGTGACACATTTTCTCTTCCCTCAGTGGAGGAGGAAGGAAATAATGAGATGAACAAAGGAGTAAGTGAGGAGGGAGAGATGAGAGAAGTGGAGAGGAGAGCCTCAGCGGAATTTCATAGGCAGGTCAGCACAATGGCTGTGTGAGTCTGTGTGTGGGTGTGTGTGTGTACAGAAACTTTGTCACGTCTGTGCGACATCTATCAAAATGTCTCCAGACATTTCCAGCCCAAAACAACTTGACTGACTCGTAAAACATTTGTAAGACAGAAACATTCTGGTATTCAAATATTAATGACAAAAAAAAGAAAACACTGCACTGCTCATGGGTTGAGAATGCATCAGTCTAATAAATTCATGTCTTTGTAGTCTATATACAGGTTGAATATGAGGCAAAAGGCCTTCAGTTCACTATAATTACATTCAATTACCATAACACAACAGGACCGCAAGAACACAACAGCGACTAGATGTTCCAATATTGACTCTAATGACACTCCAGATACATCATCTTTTGCAGAGCTTTCAAGTGTTCAAGCATTTGCTAACCCCTGGGTTTCAGAGCCATTTAAATCAACACTGGCAAATGTGTCAGAAACCTAAGAGAGAATTTATTAAAAGAAGTAGGCTGCTTAAAAATAGAACACATCCTGTGGGAGGGCGAGGCAAATCGGCGAGGGGACAGAGACAGACTGAGCAGAGCACGGCCCAGCTGGTCAAGTTTTACAAGAAAATACAGAAGAAATAACTCGGTAAACTGTTAAGCACACCTCACATCCTCTGACCACTCACGGACTGAAGTGGGGTGGGTGGAGAGTTTTCCTATGCGAGTGTGACTGTCACCAGAAGTGACAGTGATTGAGGTGGAAGGAGAGAGACTGGCAGATAGGCAGACAGAAATAGGGGGAGCAGACAGCGGATTAATGAAAGAGGGAGATTCAGCCTCAGTGGCAGACACATCGATTCTCCACACCTCAAACCACAACAATGGCATCCAGCTCATGATGAACAACTTTGGTGTCCCTCTTGTAATGTATTTATGCATGTTTGTTGTATTGCATTGTAATGTGTTGCATTGTGCTGTAAAACAGTGCTTGGTGAAGCATTGTGTTGATAATATTAGGCCATTCATTTGTAATAACCTGCTCGCGGACTACAGACAAAAATGAGCTCTCTTGCCAACTGTGGCACATTTTTTTGAAATATAAACTGAAATATTGATTAATGCGCATTGTCCCTGGTAAATAAATAAATACTGGTGTTCCTGCTGGTAGGTTGGATGCACAACTGTTAGCATGGCAGAGACTAAAAAAAGCTGCCTTGAAGCATGTCTATCAAAAATATAATCAGCAACACATGTCCCCCAACAACAGCGAACTCCAACATTACATTTCTTCCCCAAATGTCTGAGACATTTCATTGTCAGCAGCAGCCATTAACACCAACACCACCCTGCGGCCTGGCTCATGGACAACCTGGAAGCAAAACTCCCTCAGGCTCCGACCACAGAAACATGTTCACCAGATAGAAGCGCTGTTTCAAACCTGGAATATAAGATAAGGACTTTCACAGGCTAATCGGCATAAACGAACATATTGCTGCACAAAACAGCACTGATAATGACAACACAATGACGCAGCAGGCAGAGGAAGGGAAGATGAAGAACTTTGCATATCAAAGCATGTCAAGATTACAGTGCACCTGATCTTGACACAACAAAATTAAAGTATGGGTGCTACAGCTATCTGAAGTAAATATATGTAATCTAAAGACAGACTCAGGCTCCTGTTGGGAGAGTAACTGTACTTTTCTCAGTGGCTAGAGGTGAGGGAAGCAGCAAAAACAGTTAGTCCTCTGTGGATACAGCTAATGCATATTTAATGAGCCTCCTGTGCAGTACAAAGCATTTTCACAGGCAGCTTATTAAGGAAGGAAATGTGCTATCAAAGCTGTGACAGAGACAGCTGTGTCAGAGGAAACTGAGATGGCTGGACAACCGCTTTGTTGTTTGGCAGGAAGGAGAACGAATTACTCCCCAAAAACCAGTCACCAGAAAAACTCAACGAGAGTTGATTTTTACAAGACTGATACCATAGAGCGCTTTAAAAACACTGCAGGTTACTTCATGATCGATCAAACAACTTATATAAACTTGATGAGCAGTTACATGCTACAAAATCTGCAACTGTACAATGCCAAAGTATTTCTAAGTACTCACCTGAGGCAGCAATTCATCATTTCCTCCCACATAGACCTTCAGTGCAATGACTGCATGCATGTGTGTGAGAGAAGCAGTGCTGTGGGCACCCAGTCTAAGCATCTGCATGTTTTTCTGTTTTGGTATGTGTGCATATCTCAACCAGCAGCAGCAGCAAACTGGCTGTTGCAGCTAAGAGCTGTATGCAGAGGAGGGAATAAAGAGCATCCAATGATGAGAAAAATGGTGCGTGCATCAAAGAGTGTATCACAGCTGACAGGGAGAAATGGGAAAGAAAGAGACCAACAGGGAGAAAGTCAAAGTGAGAGAAAGTGAGAGGAGGTGGGGACTGAAAGAAGAAAAAAAAACGCAAGTGCATGCAGAGGTATTGAGTTTTGGGTTTTGATTTTCCAATCAATGCTGATGAGGAAGAAATGCAATATTCTGAAGTGAATTTCTAACCATATTGTACCTGAGAGGGGAGACACAGAACAATTCTAGCACCCAAGGGCAGCAGTCAGTGCTTGACATCAGGGCAGTTATTCATATGTGCTCCTGATGTACACCTCTACCGCATTTCACAGCAAAATGCTGAGAGGGGGAGTTCCTAAATGATTGATTTCACAAGGTAAGTAAGGAGCTTTTGCTCCGTCTCTGTGCCCTTATTGTTGTGTAAAGTCTGTGCAGTGAATCCTTTACACACAACAGAATAGCAGTCTACCGAGTGCACTTTTACAAGCGTTCTCAAAAACAATAATTATGAGAAAACAATTTGAAATGTACAACACAGCTAGGACGTTATCTGCATGGGGATTTCAGTTAGCCTTGTTGAATATTATTTTCCACAAGCCACTAAATATAATAAATCATAGATGGCCGATTGAGTTGCGTCTTTGCGTTTCAAAAAAAGTTAACCATTCATTGAGACGCACAGTTTGGATTAGTTAAAATGTCTTGCTGGGCTGTCAATAAACTGTGCTCCTATGTTTTGTTAACGTTTTACATAGAAGCACATAACGCATACCCTATGAGAGTTCAGACTGGAAACAGCACAGCAGGTTAAAATAGTAATGCTTGGTCCTGGTTGCATCACTGGCAGTGACAGATATCCAAACAAGATGAAAGCCACCTATGTAGCAGAACTTTGTTTTTATTTTGCAGAGGAGTCTGTTTTAGTGCGGGGGGGGGGGAGGTCCAGTTTTAAGAAATGCTCTTGTGTCTGACAAGGCTTCTTTGATCACTGCATGAGAAGGACTAAAAAGACTGGTTAGTCACGCAGACTCTAAACAAGACACACAACAAGACGCACAGACACGTTTGACGTTAAGTCTGTCTGAGCAACCGATACCTGACATTGTCGATCAGCTGTTGATGCTCCTCTGTGATCAAGATGTCGGGCAGGGCCTCAGCCAGACTGTCCACATCCCTCTCGGCAGCGTACTGCTTGAGCACATCAAACAGCTGTTCCTTCACATCTGGCTCCTCTCCTAGCACTTCCTCCACCTGATGGGTAAATAAACGCATGGACATTAATAAATGCACAAAATACCAATGAACATGAACACAAAATTACAAACACCTATTTCAGACGCACTCTCTTATTGAACTCCATGGCCTTGTGGGCTCGACTCTCCCTGATGCTGTCCCCGCTCTGTGACAACACCCTCATGCTGCTGCTCAGTCGCTTGGGCCGCCGGGCCATACTGAGGACGCCCAGACGCAGAGGCCGACCCTGAGCTGCTTTGATCATGGCTGCTGCTGTTTCGTGATGCTTCACTGGGATGCCGTTGACCTCAATGACGTAGTCCCCGGCCTTGAGGCCATTGCGACCAGCGGGACTGTTGGGCATGCAGTCCTCCACCATCAGAGGGCTGTCTCCAATGATGGTGAAGCCAAAACGGCCGTCGGGGCCGGGAGCGACGTCAATCTGAGGAGGGGAAAAACATGGATGTTTTCATCTGAATGTTATGTGCGTTTTTTCCCACCAATAAAAAAAGAAAAAATGCTAAATATGGAGCACTGGGTGCCAGTTTACTTGTTTGATCCGTGACACCACTCCGATGCTCGGTGGCACCGTCTTGAGGGTCTGAGCCAGAGCGACCAGTGCTGGTGTGCTGAGGTTGGTCACATCCTGGCCCTCGATGTCCACCACCTGGTCCCCCGGCTGCAGGCCAGCCAGGTAGGCACTACTGCCCTCCACCACTGACAGGATGTAGCTGGGCCCAGTGCCACCCAGTCGGAAGCCGAACGCCTCAGGCCAGTTCTGATTGGTGGCTGGGAGGCCGAGGTCTGGAGGATGGACAGAAGATGAAACTTGGAAAAAGGCCCAAGTACATCGGTTTTAGACTTTAACAGGTTTTTAATCGGGAGCTGAAATGTTTTACTGCTTGTAGGATATGTATGTTGTATTAGCATGTAGGAACATTGCTAATCTGGTGCAAGCTGCTCATACAAAGAAGCAGGTGGTGAGCTGTAAAATGGAGGTCAAGCGGTGCGTTGGTTTAAATAGGGCATCTCAGTGATGGAGCTGTAGCAGTAGGAACACGAGTGTACCTAATGAAGCCACACATGAAGACACAGAAGTCAAGTCAAAAAGCACGTTTAGATAGATAGATTTGTTTTTCTGAATGACAGTAAAAGGAAAGAATAAAGTGAAGCAGGTTATTTCTGACTGTTGGTATCTAGTCCACATGAACCGCTGGCCTTCCCCTGGTCACTGGCCTCATTCTACTGCAGCAGAGAATGTCCCAACAGGCTGACTTTACTTTATCTCCGCTCATCTAGATATGTTAAAGACATATGATATTATAGGGACCCACTTTATGATAGGATATTGTGGATCACAAAATGAAAATCTACACAACCTTTGTGCTTGTGGATATTTTTGTTTAATTTTGTTTAGTTATTATTTCTTTGCATTTTTTTTTTAACATTTGTATTAAAAGAATACTTACAGTTAAAAGGGCAAAATTAGAAACTTCACCGGATACGATTTCAGTGTAAAAGCAGAAAACACCTGAATATGTTATTTTATGAAATATGTTTGCCTCAAGTCAAGGCAGCACTGCCACTCCCATCAAGAAGGATTTTAATTGAGTCTCAACGTAAGACAAACTGTCTCCACGGTGCAAATTTGGAAGGGAAAATTTGACGGAGCACATTTTTCTAAGATACATTATAAAACTGCAGATACACAAACAATTGCATAGAGTCATCCATCAAACCAGCAGCACCAAACTGCTCCGTCTCCATCTTTCTATGCCTCTGATCATTACAAAAAGAAAAACAGAGGAAAAGTGAGACAGCCGGAGAAACACTAAATTAGAGACGCGAAGAAAGAAAAGTAACAAACAAGTGCGACAAAAGTGCGAAAAAAATAAGTCTGTCGAAGACTTTGTAAAGAAATGTAGAAATGTCTGATCGGCTTCAATGCAAAATAAAAAGACAAATGAGATTTCACTGGAGCACAGGGCTTAATATTCATGGTGAGATGTGGCTGAGTGAATAAAACATACATCACATCCAAAGACTCACAGAGAGCCACAGAATGTGGTGTCAGCTCGCTGAGAGGAAACATCAAACTGCAGCTGATTACTAAAATAGATTGGGAAATCACTGACATGGAAGCTGTGGATCATAATCTTTTCACTCAAGAGGATTGTCAAGACTTCTTTCTGCAACCCAGTTACACAATGTCAGCTTTCGCTCTTCTCTTCATCTTACCTCCAGCAGATGAAACAGTTCAGGAACATCAAGTTTAAAAAAAAAAAAAAAAAGACTACTATTCAGAGAAAGAGACTTACAGAAATCTTTGGAGGCACTCCGGGTTCCAGACTTGCTCTGGCGCAGGGAGAAGCGGCCCTTCCTGCTCAGGAAACGCCTCATTCTCGCCCGGCTTGCGGCGGGGCACGTTCCAGCCAGCCTCTCTTCGCCCCCGGGCTGGAGGTCGATGCAGCCAAAGGGTGGCCTCGGACACCTTTGTGCTGCTACTCAGCTGAGCTCACTGCCACCAAAAGCCCTCTTACCCAGCTCGGCAAATCAAGTGTACCTAAAAAGGTCACATCTGTAGGGTATCTGGGCCAATGCCTCCCTCTGTTCTCAATCGGAGAAGCAGCGGTCTGCAACTGAGGAGAGGGAGGCCGGGGGAGAGCGTCTCAAAGTCAGGCTCTCCATCGTGGGTGAGGCGGTCCAGCCTCAGCCCAAACCCTGTGGCTGAGCGATGATCAGAAAACTGGGACACGCTCACTTGGTCCTGAAATGGTTCTTTGCAAGAAAAGGTACTGCGAAGCCCCATTTTTCTATAAATACCTTTCCCTCTCTCTCCCAGCCTCACTTGTCCTCGGTTGCTCATGTAGATAGGGCCCTCTCAGAGGGCTGAGGAGTGACCCAGAAACCAGTGTGTGGCATACCAGCCAGGGGACACTTCTCTGATTATAGCGGCTGCGTTAACCTCAGCACTGGAGCACCAGTTACAGAGACGTAGCCTGCAGATACGCTCAAGGTTACCTGTGACATTCAAGCTATGGCGGCTTTAGTGTAGGACTGCAAATGCGAATGCAAAGTTGACAGCACGACATCGGTCGGTACAAGCTCTGTGGAGCGTACGTTTTACGCTTTACCTGGCAGGTGCGTGTGGTTTCAAAGCAGGCGGTATTCCCACGATGTGACATTCACTCTACAGCCACACACTTCTAAAAACAAAGAGAAAGGAACCACCACTGCTACACAGGATGATAATAATACAATGATACTGCATGATTTTAGTACATCATAGTGATTAACGCAGGCAGGAAATGGGCTGATGTTCAGGTGTTTTTCACTAAAGTTAGGGAGACTTTGGGGAAGCACAACTATGAATGAGTAGACGGGAAATAACCAGATATAAACAAGCCACTCTCAACTCTTTCTGTAAAGGTAAGAGCTACAGTGGCTTGTTACCATCTAAAATGTATACATTTGGGGTTTACCAAGACAAATGTTAAGCTCTGTGTGGTTGTTTCTACTCATTATTAAAATAACTTAAACAAAAGAAATGTATGTAAATATGATCACAGAAAATAGATAAACGGAAGCAAAGTGTATCACAAAATAGCATTTATTTGATGTAAACTCTGCTTCAGTAAACTGATCACATCTTAATGTCTGGTGTATCCGTCGTGCTTAAATAAGCATTATGATTAAGCACTGTACCACGGGAAGTCTATACTCTCCTTGAATGGCCTTAAACAGGCAGGCACGAACGCACGGTCTTTAAAAAGGGAAACAAAAGACTTCCAAAACTTTACTGTAGAGGTGGAAACTGCGATGGAATGATGCCGTTTTAGGTAGTAAAAAAAAATTTAAAAAAAAAAAAAAAAAAAAGAGTAAGAAGGAATTTCACTTTTGACTGCAGCAAAGAACCGAGACCTACAACAACAGATATACGTTCAGTCTGTACCACCTTAAGGAAAGATGCACGGGGTCAGACTAGTTTAAAGTTACACTTGGTAATCTGTTTTTGTTATATTGGTTGAAATTCTTTTTACATCCCGTCATCAATCAATAAATCAAATGCTCTGACGGAAAAATAAAAGACGCATGATAATAAGCCCATCCAATCGTTTTATTCATTCGGCCTGAATGAACTGATTGGATGGCCTGCCAGCCTGCCAGCGTGCACTCATTGCATACCAGTCTTCCTCAAACTGCTAGCTTAACAACTGTGGGTGCTAACGACGGCCATGTTCGTCGTTTATGTCCGTAGTGATCATGTTGGGAGGCCTAAAGGGTCAGTGTTGCAGACTTGGTGACTTTCTCCCCAGATTCAGGGACTTTTAAGGCTACATTGGAAAAAGAGTTGGAAATACTGGGCTGGGTTTTAGTTTATAAAAACTATAATACTAGTTTATCAAGATTACCGACCCTATCTTAAAGCTGTATGCACCTAAATATTCTGAAATTAGCAGGAATACTGAATGCAGTGCTTCATTTTAGTAAATCAATCAACAGAAGATTCATGATAGATGTAGTCCTCATGCACACTCACTCGTTACGCTCCACACAGACACGTCTATTTGTGGAACTATAAACCTTTTAAACACTTTGGCCTTTGTTTTGTAATCAAATCTCAGACGATGCTCATATAAACTCTACAGTAATCAGCTACACAAAGTTCAGTCTGGCAAAAATTCATCAGTCCATAGTCAGCATCCTCTTCCATCATACAATGACAGTCTGAATCTCCACCTCCTCTGGGGAGGTGATGACATATTCCTCTTGCTGCACCATCTGTATTCCCTCCTCCACCTCCACCTCCTCCTCCACCGCTTCCTCTGTGGTAACCATCGTAACTGTTCCGCCCGCCATCTCCACGGTGCCCGCCGTGGCCAGTAGCGTGCCGTCACTGATGGCGGAGGCCAGCGTCAAGGCCACCTGCTCCGTCAGGCTCTCGGGTGTAGCGATGGTGATCGTGTCGCCGCAGTCCGAGATGGATGCGCTGTCCTCGTTCATCGCCATGTTGCGCACGATGATCTGGTGGCTGCCCGTGCCGCCGCCGCCGTGTGACTGGCTGACAATTTGCTGCACCACTTTCATGATCTGGTTTCCCATCTGGCAGGGTTCAATAGAAGAAAAAGGGAGGAGGAGAGTTATAAAAGAATGAAAATTGGCGTAAAATGTGTTATTTCTTTAGTAAGTAGTGTACTAAGCGGGATAATGTACAGTGAGCGGGTCATCATTGCTCACCTGTCGGGGTTCATTTCTCAGTAATGATCGGCTCGCTGCACATTATCCCTTACTCATCAGATCCTTTGGTGCGGCACTTACAAATATGTGTTTATCAACCCAATTTTAGAAACGGTGAGATTCTCCCACACACCGCTACTGCTCATGATTGTTCTTATTTGTGCGAGTGTGTATTTGTGTGTACGGACCTCATTTTGGCTGTCTTGAATGAATGTAACCGCTTCTTCCTGCACCTCCTCCTCCGTTTGAGTCTAGACGTGGATATGAGAGAAGCAGAGCAAATACAAATGACAGAATCTAGCCATAAGAAACATAGTTCTACGTTGTTTAACACATGCTGTTTAAATAAGTTGAACTTGCTGTGCTGAAGACTTGTTATGCATGTCACCTACATAGCCTCTTTCACGATCAATAAACATTCAACCCCATCGTTTCCGACAGCCATCAATCCGACCCCTTACCCGGAACATTTATCTTTACAGTCAGAGTTGTCATTTTAAAAGATGTTAAGTGCTTTGTGATATCCATTCATTTCTTTCATTTTTACAGTGGACTAATAATTTGCAAGAACAAGAAGCGCGTGCAAATTCAGTTGCTGCTCTCTACAGACCCACGGCGGCTCCTAGAGATTTGTATAAGTACATTAATCCAAAGGTTTAGAAGTAGTGTCGTCTTTCGTAAGCCTTTCCAAACTTGACCCACAGATGTTGAAATGTCTTCAATAAAAAAAAAGCATATTATTTTGTATGCGTCTTTAACTTGTGTTTCTATGATAAAGAGCATAATGGAGAACCATTCATTTCTTAGTCAGAGGTCTCCGCACTTGGCGGAGGAAAGTGTTGAGTGATTGGTTCTAACCAGAAAATCCATCAATTTACACGTTGATGTATCAGCATGTATTCTAATATTCATTGGAAATAAAAAACAACACTTGCCGTGACAACACTGATTGGGACAGAGGTGCTTGAACAAGATCCCAATAAAATTCTACGTATGATTTCCCCTTAAATGCACCTTGAAGCTGTGATGTAAGGCCTGTGTCTCACCTTGATGATGTACTCCTGTGTGTCTGCCACCACCGAGGAGAACTCCACCAGGACGGCATGAGGATCCTCTGAGATCATGGCTGCTGTAGCGAGGCCGTCCACTGACGCCTTCTCCTCTGTTATCACATCCGGATGCTCGCTGGAATCATCCTTCTGGCAACCTCCTGGTCGAAATCACAGTTTGTGTTAATGATGTTCATCTTCTGCTGCAAATGCTAGTTATTCTTTAAGTGTGTCAATGACACAGACCTTTCGCACGCATATGCCGATTGAGAGTCCCGTGCTCAGCAAAGCCGCGCCCACACTTCGGGCACTTGAAAGGCTTCTCCCCGGTGTGATGGCGGATGTGTCGCACCAGAGAACCTTTCTCCCTGAAGCCTCTCAAGCAGAACTGACACACGTACGGTTTATCGTCATCGTGGGTCCGCTGATGCACCTGCAAGGCATTCTAAGCAAGACAAAAGAGATATGTTAGAGATGGCACAAACTAAACTATGAAATATAAGCTTAGACTTATACAACAAAGACTTCTATCTCTAAATATCACCTTAGTCTTATATCCCTTGCTGCATCTGGCACAGCGGTAAGGTCTCTCATCCGAGTGCGCCCTCATGTGCTCTCGTACATGCCCGATGGTTTTGTACAGCTTGCCACACTCGCCACACTTGTACCTCCTCTCACTGAGATGGATTTCCATGTGCTTCTTCAGCAGGTAACCAGTCAGAAACTCCTTATGGCAAAGTGTGCACTTAAAGGGCTTGTAACCTGCACAAAGAGAACGTAAACACAGAGAAGAATTACATATTTATCCACCAACAAAAAGTCCATAAATTCCAACGTAATATTTTAAAAAATTCGGTCAGTGTCCCACCAACTGCTTTCTTTTGGTAAAAGTCAATAAAAAAAGATTATAAGAGGGAAGCATAGAGTGATGCTGCCAGTCTTCATTAATAGTTATGGACTTACCCAAGTGGCCCTTGACATGAAAGCGGAAGTAATTCAGTCCCTTGAAGGAGCGATTACAGTGTGGACATGTGTACAATTTAAACGTTTGATCAAGTCCATCACCTGCTTCCTGCTGACGAAACACAGACAATAAGGCATCAGACACATAAACATTTGAGTGCAAATAATGATTGTAACAGGAAAGCAATTCATGCTAAGAGCCAGTTCAAATGTTTCCAGAACTGATCAGTCGATGCTGAAATAAAACTTTCTTCGCAAGCTGCACTGACTACAACAGGAAAGCCCTGCAGCGCATAGTGAACACAGCTGGAAGGATCATTGGTGCCTCACTCCCCTCCCTGTAGGACATATATGACACCCGCCTCACCCGCAAAGTCACCATGATTGTGCGTGACTCCAGCCACCCCTCAGTCTCTTCAGCCTCCTGCCCTCTGGGAGAAGATACCGGAGCCTCCGTGCTCGCACCACCAGACTCTCAAACAGCTTCGTCCACCAGGCTGTTAGGAAGCTGAACTCTCTCCCTCCTCTCTTTTAAGACTTCCTATGTCTGACTGCTGCTAAATACAGAATGATAGTTTTTCTTAATATATATGTTGTCTAAATGTTTTTCTATCTATTTGCACCGTATTATCTGTATTCACTTTACATGTTGGACTGGAGAGAAACGTTTTTTCAACTCCTCTGTATGTTCGGTACATATTGAGAAATTGACAATGAAGCTGGGTGGTGGTTCCCATCTTCAAAAAGGGGGACCGGAGAGTGTGCTCGAATTACCGGGGTATCACACTACTCAGCCTCCCGGGGAAGGCTTATGCCAGGGTGATGGAAAGGAGGCTCCGACCGCTTGTCGAACCTCGGATTCAAGAGGAGCAATGCGGATTCCGTCCCGGCCGTGGAACAGTGGACCAGCTCTTTACCCTCGCAAGACTACTGGAGGGGTTCTGGGAGTTTGCCCAACCAGTCTACATGTGCTTTGTGGACTTGGAGAAGGCTTTCGACCGGGTCCCTTGGGGGTTCTTGTGGGGGGTGCTGCGGGAGTATGGGGTGCCGGACCCGTTACACCGGGCGATCCGGTCTCTGTACGACTGCAGTAGGAGCTGTGTCTGCATTCTCGGTAATAAGTCAGACACGTTCCCGGTGGGTGTTGGCCACCGCCAGGGCTGCCCTTTGTCACTGGTCCTGTTCGTGACTTTCATGGACAGGATATCTCGGCGCAGCCTCAGGGCGGAGAACGTCAGGTTCGGGGGTCTCGGGATCGCCTCTCTGCTGTTTGCAGATGATGTGGTCCTGTTGGCCTCCTCGGATCGTGACCTCCAGCATTCACTGGGGCGGTTTGCAGCCGAGTGTGAAGCGGCGGGGATGAGAGTTAGCACCTCCAAATCTGAGGCCATGGTGCTCTGCCGGAAACCGGTGGATTGCTCCCTCCAGGTGGGGACGGAGTGCCTACCTCAAGCGAAGGAGTT